ACCACATCCTCTCCTTTGTAGTTGCGATTTAATATTCGTTGTTTAGGGGTGGTCGGCTCATGTCTTAGTTAAACTAACTCTTATCAAAATAACACGATCCAGGACTGGGCCCCTGGGGACGTGTGTTTTGACAGCGCCCCTGGTTAAAAGCTTTGAGATTGCTTTTGAGACGTTAGAGTTTAGATTGAAGTATAAAGTGCTTTATTCATTGTAACGTATGCATCTACATGGATAGATGAAAATGTACAAAGGAATGCAAATATATATAAATATGAATTATGATCAATAGTGATATTGTATGACTCCTTGTATGAAAAAAAAATACAGTATAAAGTATAAAAGTCCCTTAGATGCGTTATCACGTGTTTGTGAAGAGATGACAACGGTGATAGAACGTGTCCGTCTTATAATTCTGATTCGAATTATGTTAGATAACTATTTATTGCCGTATTCAATATTATCGGCTGTTGTTTCACTTCGGTATGATGTGATGTGAGAGAGGTGTCTCGCCTCTGTATGTGTTTGACCTGAAGGGCCGACTGTACGAGATACACACAGTGCGGCGGGGGAAACGAAAAAAGGGGGGGTTGGACTGGTTGCAGAAATCGCTTTTCGGTCAACAAGTGACCTTCATCAGCTGCAGAGTCCTGAGAAAAAGAGGGGGGGGACTGTGCTTAAATAAAGAAGTGAGAAACCAAAACACTTGGTTTAAGCCTTCATCACCGCGGTTGGAGAGAGGTTACATAAAAGGTTAAATAGCTTATTGGCCACCATGCTGCTTGTTATACTGACCTCAACTCATGAGTCATCTCTCGACCATCGTGTTTCAATGGTACTTCATGTGAAAACTGTGTTAATTACTGGTAGCAATCCCCATACAAATACAACCGAATCCGGCTGTCATCTAAAGCAGGCCTGTCCTTCTCTGTCAAAGCCCAGAACTTATAAACAAAATAGCCGTTTTTGACTTGCGGCGATTTATTTATTTACATGTGAAAAATGAATTTCTATGAAGAAATCAGTATATTGCGATATGATACATTTTCATTAGCAGAAACCCTGTAAAAGTGACACACGATGCACGTTTAATGTGCAGTGATTCTTCACTTACGTGGTTTAACCACCCCCTTCTCTTCCTCACCCACTGATAGAGAAGTACTCCTGTTATATACGTATTACGGCACATCATACTGATAATGTTTGCTATATATCAACATATTTATCGCTGCTTTACCTTGCAAAATAACAATGATCTTATAGTTATTCAGTTTTTCAAGCAAGTTTTTTTATGACAGCTAGTTTAGAACTAATGGTTTACTAATGGTTCTAGACATGGTCTATCGAGCGAAATCTTATCGCGGAATGTACTACGATCAGTTGTGGGGCAATACTTATTCATCAAATAAAAAAATGTTCTAATGCATCTCCAGTCAACAGTATTTTTGTTTTCGTCTTTTAGCTGGATGAAATATTGAAAGTGTTAGTCGGGCTTTGTTGAAATTTCCCCGGCCACCAGCGCATAGAGTGACACATCTTTATCCATTTTTTGTTTGTTCTCCGCTCAGTGTTGATTAAATATTAGAACGATTAACGGTCACCCGCTGGTTCTTCCAACTCCCTTATTAATTAAAGATTGGTTGCACCACTGCACACGCTGATTCAGTGCATAAGCACTACGTCCATCAGTGTAATAAACTTAAGATCTATTTAAACTGCCGCAGTCTAAGTAGCGATCGTGTAAGGAATCTTTATTTATACACCTTATTAACTGAAAAAATAAAAAATTAAAAATACACTGACTGTGTATCATGATTTCAGTGAAATGATTTTTACTCCGTAGACACCTTAAAACGTATCCTATAAAATCCAGATTGTAAGCGCAAGTGTGATTAACAATTTCTATAGTACAAGCGACAAGTTAAATGTTAGTCAGTTATATGTCCGCTAATTGACTTGCATTGCTGCAGCCAGAGTTGCATTATTCAAGGCCGCGGCCAAACTTTTAATAATCAAAAACAGCATGGCCTTTGACCAAGTCTTATTCATTATAATTCATTGCAATTTTATGGAAATAATGATCATGCTTTAAATATAAACTTTGATATCGCTTCCAAGCAATCTGTAATTGGACTGGATTTGATAGATCAAATACAACTTTTAGGGATAAATCAGCAAAGAGAAATGAAATGATGAATAACAAAATATGATAAGCCCTCGGGGGAAGCTTCCTCAGGAGAGATGTTCTTATGATCGGGATGATCACGCCTTTAGACAGTATATACATGTAGCGCACTTAAGATAATAAAATTANAACAGGTCAACACCGAGGAGGGCAAACAATTCTTCGTTTTTCTGAATAAACATCCGCTCCTTGGCATTGTGTTGCAACTGAGCTCCGAGCACGTTGAGTCGCATATTAAAACATACAGTTCCAATGGCTAAAAAAGTAGGAAAAATAAAATTTATGCTATTAAAAAAGGGAAAAAGTGAAATAAAATCATTGTACTCTAACCTAAATTATAACCATTTTTCTGAAGCTTCCCAGCACAAAAGTATATAAATATATTTTAACTGGATGAGAGAAATCACTACCAATAAACAATACTATTAGTAATTGTATTCTTCATTGTGGACTTTGACCCGTTTTGTTTTGTTTTTTTTTTCGCCTTTTGCTATTAACTTAGTAAATAACCCCAACGGATCCTCGACGCTCGACAAGGCTGATTAATTAGTAAAATTAAAACGTGGGAAGTCAGTAAAGGGACAACTTATGACTGGTATAGAATTCTAGTTGTGTAATTGCATGTAAAAGCCCGCACAAATGGACCGGTTAAGGTTAATATAAGTATTATTACTGATGCATCTCTTCTTTACAGATGTCATATATCATCCGAGCTTTCGGCCCCTAGGCCTTCTTCGGGGATTATCAATCCCTAGGAGTCGAAAGTACGGATTATATATGACATCTGTTCAGTAGATCTTCATAGATGCATCAGTAATAATACTTATTTTTTCCTTAAGATCTATACGGTGAATCGACAGGCTTCAGGTTAAAGGGATAATAACTCTTTGTGTGAGATCTATATTTCACAATAAAAACATCGTGAACAACTCATAGAAATATAATTAATTCTATTTTACCACAAAAACGGCAGTTATAGCTAATATTCTGATATCTTAGCTTGTCTTTAGACCATGTGACCTCCATTGATGGCTTTTTTTTAGAAAAAAAAAAAAAAAAACAGGGACTAACTTTGAATGTAAAAATATATTCATAAACCATTGGTAAGTATGGAAAAATTGTTGTTTACCCCAGGAAAATTCATTTTTGGCCAAAACGAAGAGTTATTATCCCTTTAATGAAACGGCCGATGTGAAAAAACTCCGCAAAAATAATAACACTGTAGTGGTTATATATTAAAAGTGGGGGAACAAACGTTACTTTATATATTCACTTTTCAATGCAGTCACGGTTCATTCCTCATTTCAAAACATGTAGGTACACATTTGCTTGTGCTTATGCAACATTAAAACATGTGTGAAGAGAAACTTACATTCCATGACGTACTGTACCAGTTCCGCCTGAATATCGAGCTCTGTCTTTTCCTCGGCCATCTTCTGCAGGTAAGCCATAAAGTCATCTGTGACTTGGGACTGCATACTTAGGTAGAGCTGCACGGCTTGGGGGCGGAGCATTTTCTTCTGGGTCGTCGTACGTCGGTCATGCCACTGTTTGCCATCTCTTGAAAGAGAAGCTAAATGTTTTCACTGTCTAAAAATAAGTAAGACGCGCAGGGAGTGCATGCCTACGCCAAGACAAATAACCTAAATTATAAGATTGTTTACTTCCAAAATTTCGATGTCTATCTTCATCAGGGCACGAGGCTATTCATTTGAACTCTCTATTCAGGATATATACTTGACCCCCCCCCCCCCCTTTCACTCCCCAAAACCACAACTAGGGACTTACTACTGCATTCCGGATGGTGAACCCTGCTTTGTTGTACACGTAAATGTTGTATTTTTTAAATGTCCGTTGTAAGCATTCCGAGACCCCCCTGGTGTAGGGTAATACAATGACTTGTTTTTTCTCTTTATTGTCACTGTTTTGAGCTGTGGTATGGACACTTCTTTGTTTTTGTTTCTTTCCCATCTTTTCTCCTTCTTTTAATGCCCATTCCGGATATCCGCAATTTCTCAGAGCTCGTTTCACCTTTTCTTTTTCTATTGCCTGTGTCCCTCTATCTTTAACCAAGGTCTCAGCCCTATACATAAGTGTCTTTACAATCCCTAGGTTTTGATATATTGGGTGGGGTGACTCCCAATGTAGATATTGGTCTGTGTGAGTGGGTTTACTATATATGTCTGTTGTGATGGTATTTTCTTTTCTGGCCAGTTTCATGCGCTAAAGATAACAATACTTCTGCACATCAGGTTGGTGTTTCATTCTATTTTTTGGTATTCGAAAAATGAAAAAAATTGCACTGTTTAACTTTAAACAGATATAAAAATTCGTTTCTTGCCCTAAAGAGAAAAATACTTCTTCAGATTGCATTGGTGTTTCATTTCCAATGGGAAGTTTCTCTGACATTCAAGGACGATCAGGAAAAAACTGCACTGTTACACTTAAAACTGTCGTTTCTTGCACAAAGGAGAAAAAAACTTTTACATTTTACATTACAATTTAGACAATGTTAATCATAAATCACCCTATGTGATAATCAAGTGTTAAATTTGTGTCCCTGAAGAAGGCAGACTAGCCGAAAGCATAGATTTTATGCTTTTAAAACAGAATATTTTAAAGATGTCTTTGAATTTTGTATTTAAATTAATGAAAACACTGATTTTCAAAGATGGACAGAAAAAATACAACTATGTGTAGCGTTGAATCAGAGAAAGCTCTCATTTTTTTACTTTGAGGTGAAGAATACTTTTCCATTTTACATTGGAAAACAAGAACATTTCATATGAAGGAGAACAAATAATCAATTTAAAAAATAAACAGAAAAAGTACTGCAATATTAAGCTCTTAATCAGAAAAATGCTGAAAAATTTTGACTTGAATGAAAAAAAATACTCATATTTTTTTGAAAGACGAAGAGAAAAGTACCAATGTTTAGCTCTGAATCTGAAAAATGTGTATGCCTCTACATACCCCATTCCTAAAGTAATAGGTTTTCCTGTGCGCTTGTAATAGGCATCCAGCAAGGGTACCGCTGTCCCGCGGCTTGGGTAACGCCCCTCTTTTCTAAACACAGTAGCAATATCTTCGGGATCGGACACATAAACCATGTATGTGCTGGGTCCGAGTCTTTCCTTGAAAATCTTTCCATATTTCTCAAAGTCCTTAGCGAGCTGTAGGTGTAATTTTGATATGTTTTTGTTCCCTGGAAGATGATATAATAAATTCTCATGTTATACTTAAAATATCAAACGATGGTAGACATTAAAAATATACCGATATTTGTCTCATAAACAAGGGTCGTAAAACTACTCCACCTAAAGGAATATTTTGTAAACTATACAGTAATTAAGTTTACCTAACCGGCTAACACACTAGACGACAGCATAAAATGAGCGTACCAAACTTGGTATAATTATGGTTTATCTGACTTTCTAACACACTAGACGAAAGCATAAAATGAGCGTACCAAACTTGGTATAATTATACCTTACCTAACCGGCTAACACACTAGACGGCAGTACAACATGAACGTACCAAACTTGGTATAGTCCAGAATGTTTCCCAGCACAGGCAGGCCCTTCGGTCCGGGCATTTCTTCCAGCGGCCGTGCCTGAGGTACGTGTGTAGCCGCCCCGTGGGGTGTGGGCGGGTCTTTGATTTTGGTGGTAGCGGAGGTCGTACAGGACCGGCTGGTGATAGAGTACAGGATACATTTAATCCATCTCCCAGGCTGGTGTAAATGTACAGGCATCCTGGACCTCTGTTTATGATGACTTGATGTGAGAATGGAAAAGCTGGAAATCATTAAACAAGGCAGCAAAGCTGTCAAATGCACAGACAAAGAGCAGAAAATAAGGATGTAGAAAGTTTGCCATTTTGTCAATTTTGATTCAATAATAAATAAAGCTTATAACAACACAGTCAAACAAAACTTAACTTTAATCATGCACAACAGGTAACATGGTCAATAAGATTACAGTTTCAAAACCATGACAGTTTAAATTCACATTAACGAATATCCCAATATGTGAAAAATGATGACAGTGCAGAATATAATATAATATAATATAATATAATATAATATAATATAATATAATATTATGTTTAATGGCATAAACACCAAAACTATTGTTTATGTTAAAATACAGAAAGAGTATAGAGCTTCAGGTGGATGGGAGTTAAAATTCACATCTTGAAAATGCCAGTGTTTGAAAAATATCTATATAAAAATTAAAAGAAAACACACACAAAAAAGTGTATAAATGGTCTGATGAAGCTCGGTTTCCCTCTGAAATGTGTTATCAGTGTTGCGTAAATGATGGAAAAAAAAAACAGCCTTAAAATGATATGATCATGTTGATTTTCGGACTCGACCTGTGTTTTATGGATGTTCATTAGTTCTGTAAGATTCAAGCCAAAAAAGCAGAATGGTTCTCCACTTATCTTGTTATTGGTGTTGCATATATGCTAAAAAAGCGAAAAAAAAAAAAAAACAATAACTTTTAAAAATGGCCCGATCATGCTGATTTTAAACGACAACATTTATCGTGTTTTCGGCGAAAGTGCACTGCGACGGCGACGACAGTTTTATATAGGGTTAGCATTTCTTTTCGCACAGTAAATCAGGAGTCTCTAAATACATTTTCCCTCAGTCAGCGTCTCGGGCGTACCCAGCAACATACGACCTGGCTGTTTACACGTACAAGTACAGTGTAGGCAGTCAGCAGCTGCCCCCCCCCCCCCATTCCCCTATCACGACATTTAATGTGGAATAATTATTCTCACGCCCCAAAGCATCTTTTCAGTCTACGGAATGTGATGTCAGCTTACCTTAACGTCAGCCGTAACCTGGAAGGTGTCCGCTCGTATCTCGCTGTAATTTTCCAGTGTAGTGAGACTTTTACGTCTCAGTCTTCCACATCTATACGGTATCTGTACACTGTCTGCTGTGATGGTTAGGATTACTCGGGTGTTTTACTTGTGCTAAGCACTCTTGTAGAACACATGTACCTAGTACCCTGAGTGTCAGAGCAACGCGAAAGTTAGTTTGTTTAATATTTAATATACCTTGGAGTCACTTTCACTAGCTCTGACGAACAGCGCCAATCTGAGGGCGTTCTTCTTCAAAATTTTGCCTGGGGCGCTTCCATATTTGGAAGTCACACGTCACGTACGTCACAGGTTTAACCGCCTGGAGCTACCTTTCCTGCCTTGCGCTGACATAATCTCGTGCAGACGAGATAAGAATCAAAGTGTCTGCAGGTCACAAGGATATTTTGAAAATGTGACTAGCAAACGTCTTCAGGCACATGGAATTTCAAAGTCACGCCTTAAAAACGTCAAAATGGAAACAAGAGGTAACTGTATTAAATTCGGTTTGTTTCTATTTTAACACTTTTTTTACATAAAACAAAAAACCAATTTACTTCCATTTTTATATGACCAACTAGAAAATTGCTGAGATGAGAAAAATACCAATAACAATTAAATGTCTAATTTGCTCCATTCTGAGATTATGAACATAGGGAATCTGACATACTGCAATCACATGAGATTATTATTTTCATTTTTCACACTTTATTACACCATACACGATGGCAGGTTTACTATCATTTTTATATAATCAACTAACAATGTTGTTAAGATGCAGAAAATGTCAAAAGAACACTTTTACGTAATAAATTAGTTCAATAATAAGACTGCTAACATGCCTTAGAATTAAATCCAATTAAAAACCAATTATACAAAAGGCATAACTTCATAAAAACTGCACCGATCAAGCTGATTTTTAAACTCAACCTGTATTTTAGTAAGATTGATCTCTCCTGTGAGTTTAAAGACAATAGGCCGATCAGTTTTCCTTGAAATGTGTTATCAGTGTTGCATATACACTGAAAAAAGGGAGAAACAGCATAACCTTTGCAAAAGAACCCGATCCTGCTAATTTTTAAACTCGACCTTTATGAATATTCATTAATTCTGTAATATTTTAAAAAGCAAAAAGGTAAAAGGGCAACGGCGACGACAGACGTAGGTGACCGCTATATGTCCCAGAGATCATTTTCGTTCTTTGTTGTCTTCACTAGCACATTATGGAGCAAATCGTGGTGAGCACAACAATCAGATTTAGACAGAATGTGAGGGTAAAAAATGCTTTCCTGGTCAGAGATTACTAAGTGCTCACTGTAAACTTGATAACTTGGCTCTTTTTACCGGAGTACATTGTTTAATTTTATTTAACCCATTGATTAACAAGTTGTAAACATTTAACTAATGGAAGTGTACAACTCAAGAACAAAGCAGTTAAAAGTAATTTTATTTATTCAGAGATACAGAACACGACTGAAGATACCTGTGTCTAATATATTTCAATTAAAGTGACTGAAACGATTTTTACAGAGATTTCTTTAAAAAACTCCAAAGGGTTGAAAATAACGAGTTTTATATTATATTTCAAAATGTACACAGACCTCTAGGATAATAGACTAAGATATCCGTGTATAATAATAATAATAATAATAATATTTAAAACACCTTATTCCCCATAGTAAAATTATTTTACAAACGAGATTCAAGAAATCAAACTATATACATATTTGAGTCATAAGGCACTATAGGATTATTATTAATGTAGACTTATGTAATTTATCTTCTGTTTCAGATAGCGATCAGTGTCAAGTTGGACAAATAAACGCTTAATGAGAAATAGTACAGTGTACTTATATATGATCGCTATCCCACACCTGACATCATGCCGGCGGTCCAATGCCCAATAGAAGGCTGTGACTACACCACAGATGACCTTGACGCCACTATCGTAGCAGCCCTACTCACCACACACAGCTCTGTTCATACCAATGCCCCCGTTACTGCAGCCAAAGTGGAGAAAGTCAAGCGGCCCACAATATCAGCCTGTGGTACCAGCGAAGAGTGGTCATACTTTCAGTCCAGATGGACAGAATATGCCTATGCAACAAAGATAGCTGGCAAAGACAGGGTTATCCAATTGCTGGAATGTTGTGATGACCCCTTGCGATAAGACCTAAGTAGGACAGCATGTGGGAGCCTTGCAAACAAATCCGTTGATGAGGTGATGGCTGCAATCAAAGCATTAGCAGTACGCACAGAGAACACAATGGTGGCTAGAGTGACACTACAGAACATGCGCCAAGACAGAGATGAACCTGCTCGCAACTATGGAGCCCGTCTAAAAGGCCAGGCAGGAGTATGCAAATTTTCTGTCTCATGCCCCAGTTGCAACACTGCTGTAAGCTACATGGAGGAGATGACCCGTGATGTTCTAACCCATGGACTAGCAGACTCTGAGATCCAAATAGACCTTTTAGGGGATAAGAACCAGGACATGCCATTGGAGGAAGTCCTCCAATTTGTGGAAGCAAAAGAAGCAGGAAAGCGCTCCGCATCACAAGAATCCCAAGCAGCTGAGGCCATCGGTAGCACTTACCGACGCAAGAAAAAAGAGACCCCCACCCCTGCTTAAAAACCACCCCAGGATCCCTGTGGCTACTGCGGAAAAACTGGCCATGGCAAGGCTGCTCCTCTACGCATTCGTAGGAAAGATTGCACCGCCTTTGGGCACAAATGCCAGACCTGCACGCGATACCACCACCTTGAAATAGTGTGCCGTAGCAAAGATAAACCCAAGCCGAGCCAGAAGACTACTTCCTGTCATGAGGCAGATGACTGTGAAGGCGCAGTCTTTGAATCGCTCTGCTCTGTCACCATCACAACACAACATACGAAAGGCAGGGCCATTGCTTTAGATCATCATATCTATGATCAATTGAATGACACGTGGGTGCGAAGAGCTTCCAAACCACAACCGTTCGTCAATCTCAGAATCACTGTCTGTGCAGATGATTACAGAGAGCTAGGCTTCAGCCTTCTTTCCTCAGCCACACCAATAGAACATCCTTCAATGGCTGACACTGGTTGTCAGAGCTGCCTTGCTGGCATTAAGGTAATCCAACGTCTAGGCCTGAAGCAACAGGACTTGATCCCAGTCACTATGAAGATGCACACTGCTGTCAACAATGGCATCAACATTCTTAGAGCAACTATACTTCCCTATGCTGGGAGGGGCCCATCTGGCAAACTGGTGGAAACAAGACAGATGACTTATGTCACCAACAACTCTGACAAGCTCTTAATCAGCAGGGAGGCATGTATTGCACTTGGCATCATACCAAAGACCTTCCCGACTGTGGGTGCAGATCACATGTCGCAGTGTGCATCCGTGTTCCCTGACATTACCCTTACAGCATGTGGCACTGATGCCGAACACACATGCACTTGCCCCAAACGTCAACCACCTCACCCGCCTCCAACCAAGCTGCCCTTCCCTGCGGAGGAACAGAATCGTGGGCGACTGAAGGAATACCTTCTGGACTATTACAGGTCCAGTACGTTTAATACATGTGATCATCAGCCCTTGCCCCTTATGGACAGCCTGCCAATGAAATTGATGGTAGACCCTTGAGCGGCACCAGTAGCCTATCACACTCCAATACCAGTCCCACTTCACTGGCAGGAAGAAGTGAAAGCAGGTCTCGACCAAGATGTCAGACTGGGGGTCATCGAACCAGTCCCAATTGGTAAGCCAGTCACCTGGTGCCACTGCATGGTTGTATGTGCAAAGAACAATGGCAGGCTACGCCGCACAGTTGATCACCATGACGTCAGACTGGGGGTCATCGAACCAGTCCCAATTGGTAAGCCAGTCACCTGGTGCCACTGCATGGGTGTATGTGTGAAGAACAATGGCAGGCTACACCGCACAGTTGATCTACAGGCCCTAAATGCACATGCTACACGAGAGACCCACCACACCCCTTCTCCTTTTCACCAAGATAGGGCAATAAAAAGACAGTTCTGGATGCGTGGAATGGATACCACAGTGTACCCATTCGTGAGGAGGATTTAACAACGTTTATCGCACCCTGGGGCAGATACCGATACAAGGTTGCCCCCCCAAGGGTACATTGCTTCAGGTGATGGGTACACCAGGAGATACGACGAAATTGTCTCGCACATCACCAACAAAACCAAATGTGTCGATGATGTCCTACTTTTGTCCAGCTCAATAGAGGGGAGTTTCTTCAAAGCCGTGGAGTGGTTAGACATCTGTGGTAGACATGGCATCACCCTGAACCCAGAGAAGTTTGTCTTTGCACAAGATGAGGTGGAATTTGCAGGATTTGACATTACCCTGGACAGTGTCAAGCCCAGTTCCAAGTACCTTCAGGTCATCTTGGACTTTCCCACCCCTCGAAACATGACTGATGTGCGACCATGGTTTGGTTTGGTCAACCAGGTATCATATGCCTTCAGCATGGCAGACAAAATGCTTCCCTTTAGATGTTTTCTTCAACCTGGAACCCCCTTCAGATGGGACGAGGATCTCAACAGTCTCTTCGAAGAATCCAAGGCTGTCATCTCCAAGGAAATTGAAGAGGGGGTCCGAATATTTGACAAGTCCAGGCCCACATGCCTTGCAACTGACTGGTCCAAAAATGGAATTGGGTTCTGGCTCCTACAGAAGCATTGCTCTTGCCAGCCTATCCATTCTGCTGCCCATCTGGATGGAAGATTACTCTTGTAGGCAGCCGTTTCACCCACTCTGCTGAATCGCGATATGCCCCCATCGAGGGTGAAGCCCTAGCTGTTGCTGATGCTCTGAACAAGACAAGGTACTTTGTCCTTGGATGTCATGACTTCATCATTGCAGTTGACCACAAGCCATTACTGTAGGTCTTTAGCGGCAGGTCCCTTGATGATATCAACAATCCCCGCCTAAGAAACTTGAAGGAGAAGACCCTCAGATACCGCTTCCAGATGGTACATATACGTGGGGTCAAACACCTTGCTGCAGATTGCGTATCTCGTCATCCCACAGGAGATCCAGATAAGCTCCCCCTCCCTGACGACGTTGCTTCTGTCAGCCAACATCACCCTCTGTCTCAAATCTGATCCCCTGCCCCCAATCACATCCTCATGGAGGAAGACATGATCTCTGCACTTACATCTTCTCTGGCATCCATCACCTTGAAATCAGTGACCTGGGACAGAGTACGCACAGCAACCACAAGTGATGCAGATATGGCTATGCTAGTAGACTTAATAACCTCAGGTCTGCCAGAGAGCCGCCAAGAGTTCCCCATGAAGCTTCACGAGTATTATCAGTTCAAGGAGGACCTAAGCACAATCGACGGAGTTGTGTTGTATAGAGAACGTGTAGTCATCCCACCGGCATTAAGGCAAGACGTCCTCTCTACATTGCACAGTGCCCATCAGGGGATCTCCTCTATGATAACCAGAGCCGAGTCCTTAATCTTCTGGCCTGGCATTACACCGGATATAGTATCCACCAGAACAGGTTGCAACCACTGCAACCGCATGACCCCCTCCCAACCGAGTGCCCCTCCGACACAACTGATATATCCTGACTACCAATTCCAGTGCGTCTGTGCTGACTACTTCCACTACATGGGTAATAACTACCTTTTCATCTTTGATCGGTATTCCAACTGGCCGATTGTGGAGAGAGCATCCCAAGGAGCGGCTGGCCTGTTAGCTTCTCTTCGACGGACCTTTATCACCTTTGGCATAGCCGATGAGCTATCCTCAGATGGGGACGGGAGTTCACATCAACTGCCACCAAGACGTTTCTTTCTGATTGGGGTGTACATCATCGTATGTCATCAGTAGCCTTTCCCCATAGTAGCTGCCGTGCTGAAGTTGGAATTAAACGTAAAACGCCTCATCACAGACAATACCAGCCCGAATGGTGACCTGGACATGGACAGCTTTCAGCGTGCTATGCTTCAGTACAGGAACACCACAGACAGAGACACCAAACTCTCACCGGCAATGTGCGTCTTTGGGCACCCCATCCATAATTTCATCCCCATTCCACCAGGAAGATATAAACCACACACCACTTGGCAAGAGACCCTTAAGGCTAGGGAGGAAGCGCTCAGAAATCGCCATATGAAGATGGCAGAACGCCTTACAGAGCACACCAAGAGACTTGTAACCCTTGCAGTAGGGGATCGTGTCCGAATCCAGAACCAGACAAGCCCTCACCCCCTGAAATGGGACAAGACTGGGACTGTAGTTTACTTGTTTACACACTAGTGACCTCTCATGGATCATTGAAGCATTTCAGTATTTCTGCTGACTTTGGTTATCAGTGAACCTAAAGACTTGGGGAGAGATATAGGATTATTATTTATGTAGACTGTTTCAGATAGCGATCATTGTCAAGTTGGACCAATAAACGCTTAACGACAAATAGTACAGTGTACTTATTTAGGCACAATTATATAATTCAAATGGCATGAACACAATTAATATTAAAACAAAGGAAAAAGAATGAGACGAGGAAAACTAGCCATTGCTACAACCCTGTACCCTACATATTTTGGAAAAAGCGTCAACTTTTTTGTATTTCTCTCGCTTCCTTGTGTGATTTTTTAAAACTTTCCCCTTCTCCCATTTGCCACAGCCTGGGTAAGCCAGTACCTTTGAATACCAAAGTGAAACGTACAGTTCGTCAGCGCTTTTCCTGCAGAACGCTGTCTAGTCACCTCTTGGTGTGACTGTTAGACCAAGAGGTTCGTCTGGTTTCCCGAATATAGTATACGTGATCCCAATGTCCTCCGAGCCCGTGTGTTGTATCGTGAAATTTTGGACAAGCTGAAGAGAGAAAGAGAATGAAATGGTGAAATAAAAGGTAAATTATACGCGATGGAAAATGTCTTCAAATACACGAATTTTATCTCTACATTTCCTGCATGAAACGTAGCAATAACATAGCACTTAGAAATGGTATAAAGCACGTAGGTAGGTGATTCGTGAGAAGGAGAAAATTTAATTTGGCGGGGAAATCTGGAAAGGCCTCCTTTAAGGTAAACACGATTGCCCATGCGCAAACTAGGGCTTGTCGAAGGAAAATATAATATCAAATAAATACCTAATGAATTGTATCCACATATCTAAATAAGATGAAGTGAATTACGTTGTTTTCTTGTCCAAATATGAAGGAGAGTGTGTAGCAGAAAATGTGCTTGTATGTATAGCAGAAAAAGTGTGTGAGACAGAGAGAGAGAGGGAGAGAGGACAGAGAGGGANAGAGGGAGGAGGGAAAAGAGAGACGAGAGGCAGAGGGGGGGGGGGTCGATACCTTGCTGATAGCAATGTACATCTGCTGTTCTGCGAACCGTTTTCCTATACACATTCTGGGGCCGTGGCCGAAGGGCAGCAGGAGGTAAGGGTGTGGCTGCACGTTGTCCTCCTTCATCCAGCGTTCAGGAGAGTAGGCGTGAGGGTTAGGAAAGTACTCGGACTGCAAGCACGAGGCGTTGTTACAGTTTATCACACAGGTCTGAAAGAAAGAAGGAATGATCAGCCGCGTGACTGAGCATAACATTACACCCAATCAGCGCCACCTCACCGCCTTACAATAAACAGGTATACTGAAAGTTAAAATTACGAATTTACTTTCATGTTAAAACTTATTAAAGATGAGAATGTGGTTACCCAATGGGAGCATTTCAAAAAAGTTGTGGCGGTTTAGGTAAGTGTTAAGACTTCTTCTGTCTTAAAGGTACATACGAACCGAGCATCGGTGGAGCGTGGATTCCCAGTAACACATGTAAACCACTTCTACTAGTTTCTTATACAACCCTAATAAATTCGACATGCCAAGGGATAAACTGAATAAATCACCCGATCAGCCATTAAAGAGCTTTAGAGTGCTCCTTTCTTTAAATTTTTGGTTGTCAATTTAACCTACTTTCGTGACCTACTTTTCTGCCCCACTGACATACAGCATAGAATGCTAGCAGAAAAATCTGTTCAAACATCACTTTCGGGTAAAAATTAAACAATGCCTTTTGGTAATTCTCTTAGTTATAATACTTGAAACTAAATGCTGGCATTTGGTTGGTTTTTATGAGAAGAAATTGACTTTGTATGTATCTTTAAGAGAACGTGCACGGTTAATTTGGCTTGAAGTCTAGTTCGAGACCACGCTTGCATCATTATGATGTGAGAATAAATATCCACAAACCCCTTTTGGTACTAAAAAACCTCCAAGAACAGCGTCTTCGGCCAGGATTCTCGTCGCCCCAAGCACTACAGGGAAGGATAGCCTGAAAACACACGATAATAGATGAGAATAGAGCGTAACAGAGATTTCCTCTAGGCAGGGCTATATTGCACACTGCAGAAAAAACAATTTACTTCATATACAACATTGGTCAAAAAGGTTGTCCCACTTCCAATACCATGCGTGTTAGAGGGTTAGTTCTCATCTGCATTGCACACTCCAATTCATGCCACAGGTGCTCAGTATGGTTAATATCAGGGCTCAATGTTGTGGTTCTTCCCTCCGAACATTGTATTTTGCATCAAATCACTGGGCAAACGAAAACTGTGAGGAAGTGTGCTGTCATGATGAAGCCTGGAGTTAACCTTGAAGTCAGCTCTGCAGATGGAGTGAGATATGAGCTGAGAATGTTACGCTCAGTGATCCCAGAGGCATCGGAATCTGGTCCACCATTGGAGTGAAGCTGGTTTTGCTGAAGAACCAAGGTATTTCTTATATCTCATCGATGGTCAAACGAGGGTCCATATACATGGTGCAGAATGCTCCTTGGAAGGGTGTGTGGAGAATTATATCGCCTGAGGTGTCAGATCTGTCCGCGTTTGGAGCATCCCAAGTCCATGATATTCGTACGTTGTTCCATCTGGAACAAAACGTTACAGGGACATTTTACTGTAGCATTCTCAACAGATATCTAGCTCCATATGCAAGGGGTGACTTCATTGTGACAACAGTCATTTGTTGCAGAAACTCGGTGTTCTGAAGATGGAGCAACCATATTTAAGCCCTGATACTAACCTTACTGAGCACCCGTGACATGAATAAGAGTGTGCTATGTAGAGGAGAACCAATCTCCTAATAATCTGAAACAACTCCACCAAGCTCCTTAGGAAGACTGGGTCAAAATTCCTTAAAACAGAATTGTTACATTTGTCATAGCAAGCTGCGCCACCTTCAGGAGATAATTGCAGTACCCGGTATACACGCACGCTTTTAGATTCGTGATCTTAAACGAGCACACCCTAATGCTAATTGTATGTAAATTTGATGCCATTCAGTAGTGCGTTTTCAATTTACTGAACATTTCTTTACCTTTGTGGAAACCACAGTGAAATATCGGTCTTAACGGGAACATATCAAAAATTTGAATAAATGGTATGACTTTTGGATATTTTCACTGCTATTTTGTATTTTTCGAACCATTTATAAGGTTATATATGATATTTGGAACAATAGTCACTGTTTATAATAATTAACACTAGTGAGGTGATCATTTGTAAATAAAAGCAAATGGAATTGGGTGGGACAACCTTTTTGACTAATGTTGTAAATGAAACTAGTTCTGGTTTTACCACTTGTATACCCCAAAAATGCTGATAAATGTAGTTCTTTTAAGGATTTACTTTGCATACCTCATAGACTCTTTCACACACGCTTTCATATAGGGCAGACGATTGAGGTGTTCGGGGGTCATGTGACAATCTCTCGGCAACACTCGGGTCACTTCGGCCCTTAATTTGTCTTGTTTGTCTGGATTGCGAGCCAAATTGTACAGTAAAAAGGCGAGGCTATTTGAGGTCTGAAACAGAAAGCAACAGAAAATATAAATAGACACAAAGCCTAACTTAAAGATAAAAAAGGCCAAAAGTACGCAGGAAATCAGGACATATTCCGTCATCACATGTTGATAGTAAAAAGGGTATGAATAAGTTCAAAATGAATGTGATATCTTTCCCGACTCCACGACCTACACTGGGGTGTGTCTGTTTCTTGGGGGTGGGGGGGGGGGAGGGGGGGGAGACGGGCTTATCAAACAGCTAAGGGAGGAAGCCTTTAGGCTTTAGTGCTGTCGGAGATTCATCTATCATGCTTTTGTTCCGACGCTCTTTTTCCGAATTCTTTCGCGGTGTTAGTGTATTACTTGTGCAATCGTCGTATTCAATGTTGGCTTTGGACTCCATATCAAACGTTTAATTTCTCATAGCTGAGCTCCCCATTGAAAGATAATATGAAATCTGCTGAAAAGGGAAACTGCTGAACGGAGAGAGAGAGAGAGAGAGAGAGAGAGAGAGAGAACAGTTACACGATTTGCTATTTTAAAAAGTTTTTTCTGCGAGTGTTTCTCCAGAATTATAACTTAAAGCACTTCAAACAAAATGACGAAATAAAAATGTATTTTGGAAATGTTTAACAAGTCACCGATTCAACTCCTGCAATAAAGAGTGCCGCGGCTGAATCCGAGGCGGTTTCAATGGATTCGCCGTCCTTGACAAGGTCGGTAATGAAATGTTGTGGACTATCTTCCGTAGCCCTCAACTCGGCATCTTTCGCAAGACTCTTTTCGACAAGATCCGCTGAAAATCTGAAAGAAATAAAACAAAAATCAAACAAACTGCATGTAGGATAACTGAAGTCTTGTCGGTGGATACAACTTTCTGGATGCACGATGCTTATTTTTCACGTTCAGTGGTAAACATGCTCAAACATTGTAACTTCTATTCATTTCATTCTATTAAACATTTTTAGGCGCACAGCGTATCAGAGTAATATACCATATAAGAAAATAGAATAATATATATAAAATATATATAAATTAATAAAAGTTGTTAATATTGTTCAACAATAATCTTCGATAGTTTTTAGGGTGTTAGGCCTTATATAGCAGAAATACAGCATTGGTCAAAAAGGTTCCACGTCCAGTATCATGTGGTTTTATTTATTCATGATCATATCACAGGTGAAAGTTGTTATAAATAGTGATTTTCATTGAGCCAATTCACTGAAACATTCTCAACAAATATCTCACTCCATTTGCAAGAGGTGACTTCAGGGATACTCGTACATCGTGGGAGTGCACTTGCACACAATTCTCGCCTGCTGAGTGATTTGTTGCAGAAACCCAATGCTCAGAGGATGGAGCAACCATCTTTGAGCCCTGATGTTAACCGTACTAAGCATGAATTGAAGTGTGCAAAAGAGAACCAAACTCCTTATAATGTGGACCAACTCTCCCAAGCTCTTCAGGAGTATGGGACAATATTCCACAAAACAGCTTTGTTATCATTGTTAAAGGCAGGCCGCGCCGTCTACAGGAGATAATTATAGTAAGCGGTAGACACACACGCTATTAGACATGTGACCTTTAATGAACACACACTAATGCTAAATGTGTGTAAATTTCGTGACATTTGGTGGTTTCTTTTCAATATAATGGAAATTTCTTTAACTCTGCGAAAGTCACAGTGAAACGTCGGATTTGAGGGGGTACATGTAATAAATGTAAATAAATGGTATTAAATATGGATATCTTAACCGCTAGTTTGAATTTTCCGTACCATTAATCATGTTAGTTAGGGTAAAACCACCATTCATAGCAATTAACTCTTGTGATGTAATCATTTATGAATAAAAGCACATGAAACTGGGGGTGGGACAACCTTTTAGACCAATGTTGATTTGATAAATTTCTGCCTAAATGGGCATATGAGAATATAAAAAATTCGTCTCCTCGTTCACATTACATTTTTTATAGATTTTATGTTGTTTAATACTGTGGCTAATTTGTGAGATAAGACTAAATTCTGCAGTGAATCCCCATGGGCTTGGGTAGATTGTATTGTTAAATCCCCAGTCAAATTTTGTATGAAGTTATCTTTTAATCTTTCCCCAATCACGGAAAGCACCAAATAATCTAAAATAAAAGAGATCTCCTCTCACAACTTATCCCACTGAGTGCGTGTAAAAGGTTTTGTCATACCCTTGTACTTACTGTAAGACAAAGGAGTACAGTTCCTCAAACCGGGCGTAGAGAGGCGTTGGAAACCATTTAAAGAATGGCAAAGAGAACAGGTAATCACCGAGGAGGGCAAACAATTCTTCGTTTTTCTGAATAAACATCCGCTCCTTGGCATCGTGTTGCAACTGAGCTCCGAGCACGTTGAGCCGCATATTAAAACATACAGTTCCTATGGCTAAAAAAGTAGGAAAAATAAAATTTATGCTATTTAAAAAGGGAAAAAGTGAAATAAAATCATTGTACTCTAACCTAAATTAGAACCATTTTTCTGAAGCTTCCCAGCACAAAAGTATATAAAAATATATATATATAAACTAGAAGAGAGAAACCCCTACCACTAAACAATACTATTAGTGATTGTATTCTTCGGTGTGGACTTTGATCCGTTTTGTTTTGTTTTTTTTCGCCTTTTGCTATTAACTTAGTAAATAACCCCAACGGATCCTCGACGCTCGACAAGGTTGATTAATTAGTAAAAATAAAACGTGGGAAGTCAGTAAAGGGACAACTTATGACTGGTATAGAATTCTAGTTGTGTAATTGCATGTAAAAGCCCGCACAAATAGACCGGTTCAGGTTAATATAAGTATTATTACTGATGCATCTCTTCTTTACAGATGTCATATATCATCCGAGCTTTCGGCCCCTAGGCCTTCTTCGGGGATTATCAATCCCTAGGAGTCGAAAGTACGGATTATATATGACATCTGTTCAGTAGATCTTCATAGATGCATCAGTAATAATACTTATTTTTTCCTTAAGATCTATACGGTGAATCGACAGGCTTCAGGTTAAAGGGATAATAACTCTTTGTGTGAGATCTATATTTCACAATAAAAACATCGTGAACAACTCATAGAAATATAATTAATTCTATTTTACCACAAAAACGGCAGTTATAGCTAATATTCTGATATCTTAGCTTGTCTTTAGACCATGTGACCTCCATTGATGGCCTTTTTTTAGAAAAAAAACAGGGACTAACTTTGAATGTAAAAATATATTCATAAACCATTGGTAAGTATGGAAAAATTGTTGTTTACCCCAGGAAAATTCATTTTTGGCCAAAACGAAGAGTTATTATCCCTTTAATGAAACGGCCGATGTGAAAAAACTCCGCAAAAATAATAACACTGTAGTGGTTATATATTAAAACTGGGGGAACAAACGTTCCTTTATATATTCACTTTTCAATGCAGTCACGGTTCATTCCTCATTTCAAAACATGTAGGTACACATTTGCTTGTGCTTATGCAACATTAAAACATGTGTGAAGAGAAACTTACATTCCATGACGTACTGTACCAGTTCCGCCTGAATATCGAGCTCTGTCTTTTCCTCGGCCATCTTCTGCAGGTAAGCCATAAAGTCATCTGTGACTTGGGACTGCATACTTAGGTAGAGCTGCACGGCTTGGGGGCGGAGCATTTTCTTCTGGGTCGTCGTACGCCGGTCATGCCACTGTTTGCCATCTCTTCAAAGAGAAACAAAAATGTTTTCACTGAGTAAAACTAGAGGTAACAACAATATCTTAGCGCATTACAAGTGTCTGAATAGGCAGACTGACACGATAGTCAAAAATTTTTATATTAATTTAACTTTAAAATTGACACAAATGTATAATAAGTAACAAGAAAGGCAATTTTCATGAGCAATCAAAAATACAATTGTGAAAGAGCACTGAAAAATCGTTTCTATAAAACTCGGATGTTTCTAGAATGGAATGACACGGGAAAGCAGTAACATTGGAAAGACCACCATGGCAATGTCAGAAGTTGATCTATGGGCGCACTCAGAACTGTGGACTCACAGATTCGCGGATGAAATATGGCGACCTCCTAAAAAGCTTGCCGCTCAATTCTCGATTGGACACTGAATAGATTCCCCGCGGGGATTGCCCAACAAGCATTCAGTGGGTTGGCCATTTTTGATCCGAGAATATGTAAGTCCACTGTTCTGAATACGATCTTTTCCTTCCCTTACCCCATCCCTAAACTTAAAGGTTTTCCTGTGCGCTTGTAATAAACATCCAGCAAAGGTAACGAAGCCCCGCGGACTGGGTAACGCCCCTCCTTTCTAAACACAGTGGCAATATCTTCAGGGTCGGACACGTAAACCATGTATGTACTAGGCCCGAGTCTTTCCTTGAAAATCTTTCCATATTTTTCAAAGTCCTTAGCGAGCTGCAGGTGTAATTTAGATATTATTTTGTTCCCTGAAACATTGGATTAATTCTCATGTTACACGTTAAATATAAAACTATAGTTTAGACATTAAAAATATACCGGTATTTATCTCATAAAGAAGGGTCGCAACTCTACTACACCTAAAGGAATATTTGTAAACTATACCGGTATAATTACGGTTGACCTGACCATTAACACACTAGACGACAGCACAAGATGAACGTACCAAACTTGGTATAATTATGGTTTATCTGACTGGCTAACACACTAGACGACAGTACAAGATGAACGTACCAAACTTAGTATAATTATGGTTTATCTGACTGGCTAACACACTAGAAGACAGTACAAGATGAACGTACCAAACTTGGTATAATTATGGTCTATCTGACTGGCTAACACACTAGACGACAGTACAAGATGAACGTACCAAACTTGGTATAATTATGGTTTATCTGACCATTAACACACTAGACGACAGCACAAGATGAACGTACCAAACTTGGTATAATTACGGTTGACCTGACCATTAACACACTAGACGACAGCACAAGATGAACGTACCAAACTTGGTATAATTATGGTTCATCTGACCATTAACACACTAGACGACAGCACAAGATGAACGTACCAAACTTGGTATAATTATGGTCTATCTGACTGGCTAACACACTAGACGACAGTACAAGATGAACGTACCAAACTTGGTATAATAATGGTTTATCTGACTGGCTAACACACTAGAAGACAGTACAAGATGAACGTACCAAACTTGGTATAATTATGGTCTATCTGACTGGCTAACACACTAGACGACAGTACAAGATGAACGTACCAAACTTGGTATAATTATGGTTTATCTGACTGGCTAACACACTAGACGACAGCACAAGGTGAGCGTACCAAACTTGTTATAATTATAGTTGACCTGACCGGCTAACGCACTAGACGACAGAACAAGATGAGCGTACCAAACTTGGTATAGTCCAGAAGGTTTCCCAGCAAAGGTAAGCCCTTTGGTCCGGGCATTTCTTCCAGCGGCCGTGCCGGAGGTACGTGTGTAGCCGCCCCGTGGGGTGTGGGCGGGTCTTTGATTTTGTTGGTAGCGGAGGTCGTGTAGGACCGGCTGGTGATATAGTACAGGCCACATTTAGTCCATCTCCCAGGCTGGTATACAGGCATCCTGGACCTCTGTCTACAGACCTCGACACAGGAAGACAATGAGGTTACTTGTGAGAAGGAAAAAGCTGGAAATCATTCAGAAATAAATCAGTCTAAAGCGGAAAATTACAATTCTAAAGCAAAAAAAAAAAAAAAAAAAGACCAAAACACCTGTTTTAGCCGCAGAACCAAATGTATGAATGGTTCATCCAAAACGAGGCCACTCCTCTCTCAACTCTGCCATCTAAATTATAATAGCACAGAGAACAGCGTAAAAACACTTATTATTTAAACAACGCGTATGTATATTTTGCATATTTTCGTTTTCATTTCTTTTTATTATTATATTAATCTTTGTTGTTTTCTATGTCAATTGTAATAAAATATGCCAACAGTACGTGGAACACGGTCTTAAGATATTAATATTTCCATAATTACAAAGAGCTCTCAAATTTGGAAGGGATGTGGTGTCTTTGACTTATTGCACTGGGACTATTTACGTATCGCGGTGGTGGACACGGGGAAATGACGCTCTTGATATACATGACATACATGAACATCCGGCTGTACATCTGTTATTTTAAATCTCTCTGTAGTCAACTCTGTATAAAATGGGCTTCGGACAATATTGGGGAGGTGAATTAAGTCGCCCAGTGATAAAACAATGAAAACAAGCTTTCAGATATAGCTTGCATATTCATAAGGACGCCCTAACAAATCGATGCTTCGTAATAAAGCTGGGAGGTAATTCAACTTTAAAATAGTCGACGCATTTATAGCTATTACTTTTATTTATTAATGTATAATCTAGTGACATATTATAAAGAAGCAAAGAGAAAAATACCTACAAAAGATATTTCTTGAGCATCCAAAAGCACCACGATGTATCTTTTCACGTCTGAAAACAAAAAAATTATTTCAAATTTAGGAAAATGTATTAAAATTATTTCAGATACGATAAACTCCCTGGCAACAACATACGAGTTCCTATTTGTTTGCTTTTTTACTTTCACTGGCTAGGCGGTTATATAATAGCAGACGGCCATTGATATATTGACCGTTTGTGAGCAGACGCTTAAGTACTGACTTGAATCTTTTTTTATTTTCCTTTTTTACCTGAAGTGTAAACCAGTATATTAAAGTAAACGTTCTTGTGCCTTGTCAACTGGAAATAATGACCATTAAATGACCTTAAGTTCCCTCTATGTCATATTGTGGGCACCTTAATCATATAGCGTGAGTCATGTCCAGCTTCTCTTATTACTTAAATAAAGGTACATTCACAACATGTTAGAAGTCAGGCCTGCACGTTGCAGGGTGATGGGAAAGGGGGGAGGTAGGGAAAGTTATATTAAAAGGTTGGCTTTTCTTCCCACAGTAAATCAGGAGTCTCTTAATTCATTTTCCTTAAGTCAGCGTCTCGGGCGTCTAGATGCGTACCCAACAACATACGACAAGGCTGTTTACCATTACAAGTACGTACACTGTAGGCTGTCAGCAGCTGCCCCCCCTCCTCCTCCTCACACCCACACCCCTCCTCACATCCAACCCCCTCTCACACCCCAAAACATCTTTTCAGTCTACTATTTTAGTAGTGTCATGTCAGCTTACCTGAACGTGAGCACAACCTGGAAGGTATCTGCTCGTGTCGCGGTGTAACCATTTAATGAGCTGTTCACGTCTCTAGTCTTCCACATGTATACGGTATCTGTACACTGTCTGCTGTGATGGTTAGGATTACTCGGGTGTTTTTCTCTTGCTAAGCACTCTTGTAGACACATCTACCTAGCGGACTCCTGTCTCTTTAAGGCATACACTGCTACCGCCCTGCTTGTTCTGTTGACGGCTATATTCAAACAACCACAATAACACCGGACTTGACCCAGTGTGCGTCACTGGCTAGGCGGTTATATAATAGCGGACGGCCATTGTATATTGACCGTTTGTGAGCAGACGCTTAATTACTGACTTGAATCTTTTTTATTTTCCTTATTTAAATTTTATTTTATTCATTTATTTATTTAAATTTATTAAGAGTAAGTGAAAATCACTAGAAAACTGTGGACCAAATACAACGTCGCTTGCGGTGGGTAAACATAAGGGAAGAAAGTAAAACAGATGATCTTTTATATTCGTTGTTGTCTTCACTAGCGCAATATAGAGAAACTTGTGGAGAGCGCAACAAACAGATTGAGACAGAAAGCTAGGCCAAATACTGCTGTCTCAGCAAATTATTCCTGGTCAGTGATTACTATTCTGTTTACATATGCTCACTGTAATATTATATACGCATCTTATGTTTTTTCTTTGAAGTTTCCCTACGGTGAAATACGTGAAATACTTTACCTCCCTAAACTCTCTTAAAACTTTGACAAAAAGTATGGTATAGTATAAACGGCGGATTTGGGGCCAGAGCACCGTCCGTACAACTCTCGAGTGATCTCAGACAGAGACGAGCTGCGGAGGAGAAAAATACGAAAGAAAATCGACAACCCAACAACTTGATGATATTAAAATGCTGTGCCGGGGAAAATAGCGGCGGTCTATTTAATACATTGAAAGACAGCTTTCATGGACTTTATAAATCAAACGATTCATATGGCTTAATAGAATGAAACTGATTTTTAATAGGAAATCCTTGTTCCACGCCTTTTTATCTCCTACTCCGATCTGCAGCCAAGTATATATAAGCAAAGGGTGGTAAGATGCGATAGAAATCAATGGTTTTTACGTTATCCACATCCATCGAAATTAAAACAACAATCACGCCGTTGCTGTAATTGACGCACTTTAATTTTATCCAAGTGGCGCTTCAATTTTAAGGCACATTTATAGCCTTTGCATTATTAAAAATATACAGAAATATACTGTTAAGATTGAACACAGATAAAAATATAATTACAATATCAGTGAAGACTATCTGACGGTATCTTCTGAAACCATCCGATAACACAGAGTTACTGGTGTTAATATAATATCAGACTTTAAGGGGGAAATATACAGTTTTACGTAACCTTGATGTCAGCGAGAGTAGAGCACAATTCCGACAATTTTTCTCTCGGCTGATATAAAATTAGATTGGTTCAGATGTATGGATATTTTTTCCATTCCGATTGTTTCTCACTGCATAAGAAGATCAATGCTAACGTCATTAATAATAGGTTCCAAAGCTGTATATATACAGGGAGTACGCCGCCAGGGGGCGAAGCGGTGCAGTACGTTGACAATGTGAGACACATGTATGGCCTCATTTAGAACAGTGGACTAACTAGTCCGAGGGTTACACATATGGTCGAATCACTTGAAGACTTCCCCACGGAATCTATTCAGCGTTTAATAGTTGATTAGACGGCAAGCTTTGTAGTGGGTCTCCATATTTAATCCTCGGACTAGTTAGTCCTCTGTTCTGAATGCGGCCTATGACGTTGACGTTCTCTCACTCTTGTAGCAAGCAGTCGCCAAACTGGAAAAATGTTTCCTTTCCTCAACTCTTATAATGTGACATATTACATAGATTAACCCTATGCGTCAACACGGGGGCCCTGTGGAGCTGGGCAAAAAGGCTCATCAGAAAAATTTGCGATTTTCGACACAACTACGGAATAAACCTGGCTGACAAACGCTTTAAAACATATTCCTAGAAACAGGTTAAAATCTGAGGAATGAACGCATTTGGGGGAAGGCTGTGACTTGGAGTTCCGCGCTCCACTGACTTCACGCAGCCTGGAATGATTCAAAATGTTTCAGCGACGTTGGCGGCGGCTGTAGCAGCGGTTCCAGTGGTCTGATTTGACTCGTTCCCCACCGAGCAGTTATCATTGGAATCGTCTGTAGTGTATTTCAGTCCCAGCATTCTTCTAAATTCTCTTTTAAAGTCACACATCCGGTACGCGTACACCACCGGATTTACGGCACTGTTCAGTACGGCTAGAACACTGGCGTACACGCGTAGTTCAATCAACAGCTGAGAGTTGACCAGCCCGCCGTACACTTGGATGGCCAGAATGATGAAGAACGGGGACCAAAAAATCAGGTATAACCCGATCACGATGGCCGCCGTCTTGGCGATACGAAAGTTGCGACTGAACGTCCTACTGGAATGGTTTGGCTGCAGCGTTGCTGTGTCGTTAATCTGCGCGTTGTGGCGTCTGGCGACGTGGAAGATCCGACTGTACAGGCCGATTATCACCAGGGTCACCGTCAGGAACGCTCCAACCGTTACGTAGCGGTTGTAACCCAGCGTCAGCGTCTTTCCGAAGTCACAGTCTTTTTCGCCTTCAGCCGGCCAACCGTTATACCATAGAAAAGGCAACATGAGGCCGCACACAAGGGGGGTCAACCAAACGATGAAAATGGTAAAAATTGACCTCCGACGCGACATAACACTGTAATAACGCATGTGGTATATAACGGCAGAGTATCTGTCAATGGTAATGGCGAGGAGACAGAGGATGGACGCCGACTGGGTGACGACCATAGTCGCATATCTGAACAGACACACAAAAATATTCTCCAGTATCTCTGGATGTAGAAAGCAAGTCATTTGGAAGGGCAAGAAAAGACCGACGGCGAAGTCCGCACAAGCCAAATGCATTATGTAGTAGTTTGTAATGGTCTTCAGTTTCTCTGACCTGTAGAAGGCACCGATGACCATCCCATTACCGAAGCATATTAGAATCATTAAAATTCCTTGCGCAGCTGCGGTGATGATTTTGTACAGATTGACCGGGGTTCCGTCCACAACGCCACTGCCTTCACTGGTCAAGTTGTTTCCGAACTCGCCAGAGGCTCCAAGAAGAGATACGTTCATGTTGGCGCCAATCGCGGTACTAAAATTAAAGTTACTGCCATTTGAAAATGACGAGTCTATTTCCATTCTGAATAGAAACGTTACTCACTAGTTGTATTCTCGTCTACTTAACAAGTGCCGCGGCCTGTGAAAGTTATTAAAATGTGTCTTGTCAATTTGAGTCAAATTCTATGTAATTCAGCACGACTATTATTTTACCACGTTCCTATTGCTAGGACTCCAATATTTTGTTTGCAAACAGCTGAATTTAACTCCGACTGTTGTGCACAGCGTAGAGCAGGCGCACTTCACGAGTTAACTCTACAAGAGAAGCTCTTCTCTCGGAGGCAGGCAACTGCAGCCTTGTATTCCTGTGATCCTGCGAGTGACGCATTGGGCCTTGATACATTTCCAACTTTGTCAATAGACTGTTTCCCGTTTCCGTTAAATATGTTATAACCCTCTTATTAATTTGTGTCACAAGAGCATCTTTTCTGGAGAGTAAAAAATTAAAGCTCCTAAATAATCCAAGAACGCCTGTTGCCAACGTTAAAGCCAATCATTTATCATCAAGATAGAAGGCCTGTTGTTATTTATCTCCGATTTATACCAAACCCATCCTTATGCTCCTCTTGAAAATATTGCGCCACTTAAATAGTAATGTTTTAACAGGGGAAAGCAGGTCACCGTGCCCGCGATTTGTCAAGCCGATAACTGTGAGATGTCCACTGTGTAGTTTGTAGGTTCCTATAAACCAGAAATATGTTCCTGATTTTCAGTCATTTCATATTCCGCCACCTAATTCGTGAAAATCAACTTCTTGGGATTAAGCTGGTACCGGAGTCTGCGCTGCTTCTCTATGCTGGCTCTCCATGGTTTGGTATGGTATCCAATCACAATAGGCTTTGATTTATAGTTCTATTAGAAAAACCATCCGCACAGTTTCAACAAGGCGCTGATCCACGGCAACGGGTGAAAATGTAAAAAGTTTCTCTTTGAATTGTGTCAGCAGACCTGAAATGTGAAAGAGACAAGAGCCCTGTGAGATCAGTGAAATTTGATTTTAAAAATATCAGAAGGGATCATTGCACAGTTGTGAGTTCAGTATGGGGATGCCAAGTTTTTCGTGTTTTTCAGCAACATCAGCCCGTAGTAGAATTTTTGATGTCTTAGTACCTGGGAAATTCAATCTCAAGCAATCAGTGTTTTTAGACCATTTCTTTTAAAAGTAGGGTCACAGGTGGTTTTCGAGAAAAGATCTGAATTTTTCGGAGAAAATTTCACATTAACGAAATAAAAGATTAGTTCTGGAATAAATTACCGACTACCTACTGGATTATTAATTGACATACACACACTGGACAATAGAAGTGTCACCCCTACTGAACCAATACTTTGGGGGAAATAAATGACTGTGGAATGATATGCTCCTGGTATCATTTTATTAACATCATATTTTACAAAAAGACCAACAATACAATTCCATGGTACAGCGGTTTTATACTCATTAGTCACATTATAAGTAGACCAGGCATTATAACTTTGATTACTCTGATTCAGGGGGTGACACTTCTTTTGTCCAGTGTGTGCATAAAGTTGAGTAACTAAGCGAAACCACCGCCTCTGTCTTGTTTGCCATTATTTCCTCAATTAGCATAGCTTATTACATGTGATTTGTTGCGATGTTACTAAGCTAATACAAACGTCTTACATTGTCTATTGCATAAAATAAATCAATATGTTTCCCATTAAATAATTAAGATTTAATTTGGGTAAAAGCTTTCTTTTTTGCTAAAAACAAAGATTCTACGTTATCCACAATGACTGTTTGAAAGACAGTGTCATGGTTGATAAGAAGTTATAAATGGTAATGTTAAACGGTTTACAGGCATGGCTGCTAGCAGAAATAGACCGCACATACTCTTGTCGAGTGAATTAAGACATCGCGGAGAGATCTAAAGGTGCTGCATATACGTTTAAGCTAAAACTTGGAAATAAACAAACAAGCAGGACTCGAATATTTTATTATAAGATGAACAATTGCCGTGCACTTTGTTAAATACAAAAAATAAATAAATAAATAAATGAATAAATAAATAAATAAATAAGATTTCAAGTAAAAAAATTGGCAATTATGTGTTTCCAAAATGCAGTATTATCATAACTATTCATGATCATAATGAATTTATAATGGTTAGGAAAATTTTAGCACCTATTTTGTGTAAGATGTTTTGAAATTCGATAGGAAGTCATACGACTACACGGAAAGGTTGTTATGAACCGCAAGTCATTTCAAATTACACTGATGCTCATAAGTTAAGCAACACTTTCTTATTTCTCGAATTTCTCAGCAACCAAAATTTTTATTGAGGCAAAATTTGTACAATAGTTAGATATTTCTCTTGTTTTTACTTTGACTTACTGGACCGTGACATTAGAGTACTATTTACTGTTGGACACGATAGAATATGCTTTGGGGGTGCCACTTGCGAAAAACACAGTTTAGCCATGCCATGAGGAGCTTCCAGTTTGGCTAGTTTTATGGGCACAATTTGTTATTTTGGACCAACCAATGGTTAGAAGAGGACTCAACGAGGTAATCAGATGGCAAATAATGGGAAGCTATAATGCTGGGGTGCCAAAGAGACAGATTGCAAGGCAACAAAAAAGCAGCACCAAGCCAAGTGTCCAAGCTGGTAGCAAAATGGCGCCAAACTTAGCATGTATTGGACAAGCCTCTTTCTGGTAGACCAATATTAACCGACGCAAGAGATGAAGACATCTGGTTCGATTATGCCACCAGGACCAGTTCATTTCAGCCAAACAATGAAAAATTGCCACCATACGTCATTCAAGGGAGGCGCCGTGGTCAACAATACAGAGACGAAATACCATTGGGGTGCATACAATCACACATTCAAGCAAATCCAGAAAGAAAAATCATTTTGGTGCAGGACAATGCGCCCATCCAGAAAGCATGGTCCGTGCAAGACGCGCTGCAACAGCGCGGTATCCCACATTTGGATTGGCCTGCATATTTACCAATTCTCAATGTAATCGAGCATGCTTAGGATATGATTGACAGGGCAATAAATGAGAGACAACCTCCAGTTAGAAACATTAGGGAGGTCCAACAGGCAGTAAATAAAGATTGGAACCAGCTCTCAAAGCAAGATTGGCAGAATTTAGTGGCAAGTTGCAGGAGACAATGTGAAGCTGTTGTTCAAAACCAGGGAAAGCACACCCAATATTTATTGCATAATAGACGATTAATCATCTATTATCCACTGTCTTCTTTTATTAAAACTAATTCTTAGATGATCGAACTTTATTTTTTCATAATAAGCTGTTTTAATCAGCACGTTCTTTTTGCTGTGTGAGCATACTTTTTTGACACATGGTTTGGCATATTTTAGTACCGTTTGGTTAATAAAGTCATTTTGATTATTACAATAAGCTGTGTGGTGTATTTCATTAACCGAAATATTCAATTTGAATAAGTTATTTGTAAAATATGAAAGAAATATGCATAATCCCACCAACAAATGAAATAATGATCATGATAGAAGAAACTTTTGAAAAAATCGGGGTGTTGCTTAACTTATGAGCATCAGTGTATATACCAATTTACAAAATATATGACGAGGAAAAAAAGAAAGAAACACCTTTTTCCATTCTTTCTAGCACTTGACTGAATTAAATGCAGAACATGTTCTTAATCAGAATTTTATTAAAATAACTTAGCATCTTACAGGTACACGTGTATAGGTAGCCAGAGAATCTTGTCATCCGTCAAGCAATTACCTTCAGATCATATTGATTGTAAGTGATGACGATAGAATTGAAATCAGACAAATACGATTTACGACTAAGCTATACGGGCAGAGTGTAAGAGTATTACTTACCACACAGTTTGCCAGTCAGGCAAACCACAAAATAAAGAAAAAGAAAAAATAAACCAGTTAGCATTTTATAAGATCAATAATCACTTTATATAAAGTCAAACTACATACCATTTGATATGCATTTTGCCCTTGTCCACAAACAAGACATGATTACCTTCCCATAAATCAAATTATCAGCATTCCAAGTGACAATAACGATGATAATGATGATGGTTAATGATAAATGTATATATAACTGTGTCGAGATTTGGAAGGCAGGCTTTCCTCGCCAAATTGTTGGTCTGTCCTAGAAACGATTCCGCCGGGATCAATGAAGCAAAGTGGGCGTTAAAGTCCGCCCTGCTCGACAGAAGAGATAAAGACCAGTATCGAACAACTCCTTCACGGGGTCTTCATGGCCGGGTCCCTGGGGTCATTTTCCATTCTAGGATAAATCGATTTGTTTGTGTCTCGTAGGTAACTACTGAAATGTTAATCAAGGCATTTCAAAGTGCGTATTTCTGAAATGCAGACATTAGGTCCATGCCTGTCCATAACGTGTATATTTCCATGAAGAATAGAAATATAAACTGTGGCATCTTTTTATTGATCACCCAAAAACGAAAATAAATAAATAAACAGAGGTACATATGACTATTTGGTGGTACTTACTAATTTATATATTAAACTTGGAAATATCAATGTATTTCCAATTCAATCAATAAAAACGTGCCACAGTTCATTTCTATTTTACCCTATTAATGACGAAAACAGTGGATCTATGTAATACTCTTCATGTGAGAAGTGCTGGTGGGGAAAAATGTGATTCAAGGAAAATTAAGAGAGAGATGCTTATATAGTATAACTTGAAATACACAGTAAAGATAAGTCTTAAAAACGCATTAAAAACTGCATTACATTGTTCAGTTCTTTTCAGATGTGACGGCGAATTTTGGTCTAAATAATCGATCTACATTCAATATTACTTAGTATTCGGCATTTATCTATCGCTATGACAATTTTGTGGATTTGTGTTAATGAGCGTTGAACATTGCGACATTTTCTAATGATACATATTTGTGAATTAGAACCAAAATCGTTCTTCATTCGGCCGCAAACCCGGTGTAACACTGCCTTTAATACTTGACAGTATCGGCACAAAAATAAATAAATAAATAAATAAATAAATAAATAAATAAATAAATAAAGACAAACTGCGTTTGGATAGAGCGGCAGAGAGAGAGAGAGAGAGAGAGAGAGACGTGCTACTGCCACGTGATTCTATAAACTGAATCAGCATTGATTTGATGATCGTCTGATTTACGGGACAAGATGATCGGTGATTTACTAAATGGGCTATTGGCTAGTTTATGGTGAAAATGGAATATTGGAGACGCAGGAGATATTGCTGTATTCGGAATAAAGGATAATATGAATGTTTATTACGTTCTACAGATTGAATTTATAAGCGCCAAGAGAACACACTTGTCTCTATATGTGTCTGCGTGAGAGAGAGAGAGAGAGAGAGAGAGAGAGAGAGAGGGGAGCATTTGTATGTGAAGACTGTGTGTGTGTGGGTGTGTGTGTGTGGGTGTGCTTGTGTGTCTGTCATAATCTTTAATATCAAGCACCTTTTTGAAAGCGTGCATTTCCACGTGTGTGCACATGTGTGTACGTGTATGTACGTATGTGCGTGTGTGTGCATGCTTGTGTGTGTGTGACAGTGTGTGTGTGTGTGTGTGTGTGTGTGTGTTTGACAGTGTGTGTGTGTACAATGTATGTGTTCTAAGGTGGTGGCTTCTATCTGCGTTGTGTTCATTCACTTGTGAAAAGACCAGAAGGACTGAAAGCCGGTCTTTGTTTTGGACATTTCGGATTTTCACGTTTTTATCATTAGCAGGCAGCGGTTTTACGTCTTGAGATGGCAGCCTTCTGACCTTTAACGTCGCAAGAGTGTAACCCAGCAGACTTTTAGCTTGAACGAAAATACGTTAACGATACCCAAGCCACATCGTGCAGACAACACCTGTAGATTAATGATACTTTCGCCCCGTTTCAAAGTTTACTTAAGAATATAACTCTCTACCAGCGTTGCATTTTTCAATATGTGCATTTTTCTCTGACGCGACTACTGCCCTGGCGTTATTCCTACCAAACAACTTAGAAATAGCAATCTACGAATAGGAATGTTAGAAATGCAAATAGTTAAGTTATGATATTCGCAGATTCAGATCCTATCTCTTCCACTATAACGCACTTAAGTGCAGACAGGTTGTTGACTGTCTGTTCAGGAGTCTTCATCACTCAGTTATTCCACCGTCTGCCTGCTCTAATGGTCGTCCATCCTGAGTACATTTGTCCACTTCACACCTCGTTTATTGTTGTTATCTCATAAGCCCGAAGGAGTGGCAGTTTTCCTCAATACATAATGCCTGACGTTATAATAAATAAACGAATGAAGAAAATATGGGTGTGTGATTTGGTATCTTAGTGAGAAGATTGTTGAACATTGTTGGAATACGAACCTAAATTATTAGGTTAGTATTTAATTTTTCATTCCGGAGGTTTTATTAATTTAATTGTATATTTTATATTGAATCATTATTTCTTGGAAATTTGAAGGGAAAAACATGAAACCTTTTATGTCATGTAAGATGCCTCAATTGAATCAGCAGTCAGAAGTCCTCGAGACTGCAGTAGACATTTTCTGTTCATACAGACAGTGCACTGTAGTTAGGAGCTGTAGACGATCAGCTGTTTGACAGGATCATCCTTAAGCGGACAGATATAAAAAGTCTCGGTGGAAACAATGAAAGGCACCTGACCCCCCCCCCCCCCCCACTCCAAAGCTTCGAACCTCCCCTCCCCCTTCCAGAGCGAAACACGGCAAAACCAATTGGTTCTCCATTGCCTGTCTACCATATTCTAGTTAATACATAAGACTGCCCCGGTTAAGTGTTTATAAATGCATATGACATAATATGACGGAGATTGAGAGGCTACAATGACCCACGAGCAGACGATGAATAAAGAAATGTAGATGTTTTGAGTATGGAGTTTCTAAGAAGAACAATACCTGGAAATTGCAATATATGCGTTATTTTTTTTAACACAGATGTTTCCGTCGTGAAATAGAGTTGATAATGAAATGTACCTATGATTGACGTCACATTTTGGCACCTACAGTGGTTAGCCATGGAGAGGGGAAATAAAAATACATTATGCTTTACCATGTATAATAATCAAAAAGGATAAAATCTTTAATTACGGAGCTGATGCCCGGTCACAGAGGTGGCAAAGTCTCAACTATTGGTGACACGAACCAGTTTTGGACAGAAACCCAAGAAAAAAATGCTCGGCAAAAGAAATATACTTGATTGCTTAAATTGCCTCAAGTCAGTCGAAGAAAATGTAGATTCCATACAACTTTTAAGCATTTTGAGAATTAAGTAAACATGTGTATGGAGTCCAGATCATTCTCAATATTGCAATAGCAAGAAATAAGTCATAAAAACTACAATCGTGTTCTCTCTCAATGATGATTGTGTCGTTTTGAAATTAAGGAGAGACATAGCTACATGTAAGTTTTGTTTGTCTGTCTTGTGCCTTTATCATGGCTTTTCCAGCCAAATTGAATTTCCGTTCAAAAAAGTAATTTTCTCTTACTCATAATTCATTGCTTGACCTTCCCCTTGGATCTGATGTTTTACGCCATTTGTAATTAAATAATTAATGTTATGTTAATTAAAGTTCTGTTTTGATCTTTTTCAATATTTCAGAAGGAAAAACCGATTCTTTTATTTGAACGATTCTTTTATCTGAATGGTTTTGTCATTTTTAATTCCTAAATTGGGAAAATAGAAGTAGTCTTTTTAGGATATGATAATATGAATTTCTGACAGTTTTAAACGCGAATAATATACCTTTAAAATAAAATCAGACCTCTCTCTTGTAATTTCCCTCATTTTCGTCTCTCCGCTATGATGCTGGACTCACTTGCTAAATGCTACCAGCAGCCGAGTGCTCGTGGTAATGACAGGGCGTGCATGAAGCTTAACGGGTATAATTATATACTCTGTATCGCGGTACCACATATTGGCCATCTGTACTGTAAAGCCCTGTATATGGCACGGCGATCTGATGTCCACCCTGTGTCGGCCATCTGTACTGTATAGCCCTGTATATGGCACGGCCATCTAATGTCCACCTTGTGTCGGCCAGAGTGCAGTGGCTTGGAGCTAGTGCTGGCTTTCTCTTCTCTATGTCAGCATTCTGTGTCCTAGGCAGACAGAAAGAGGCAAAGTTGGCCACCCTTCTCCCATAAAGGGGGTTTGAAAATACTTCTTTCACCCCCCTCCCCCCGGCTCCAAGAAAAAAAAAAAACAAATTAGGGGAACGAAGCATTTGTCTCAAATTTTACTAAAGTTGACCGTGCCTACAATATAATCTTCGTACCGCCCCCCCCCCACTCCCCCTCGTCTAGGATCCACTCGAGTTTTAGAACACCTGTCGTCACAATAGTCTTCCTGTCACCTCTGAGCACTCTAACTTTCCTCTCCGTCACAATAGTCTTTCTGTCACATCTGGACATTCCTGTCACCTCTGGACACTCTGACTTTCCGGGTGACAGAGAAATGGCAGCAGCATAAACCCACGCCGAGTTTGTGTGCATGTTTAATTAAATACGGGTCAAAATAGCATTTTCCTCTGATTGCTCTGTAATGAGAAATTTGTAGGCAACAACACTCTACTGGTGTCGACTATGATTTTTATTTGAGTCACGTTTCCGAGTTAAAGATTACTTCGCTTTTTAATATCAAGAAAATATGGATTGTCACATTCGGGAACAGAGTACAGTTAACAGCACTCGAACTTTTTGTCTCGGCTCAAAGTCTCTTTCTATATTGTGCGTAGTGTACACGAGCGGATGTATTTATAAAGCCACTGGAACAACAACTTTACGCGCTTTTTTTCACGGTTTAATAAAACATACATTTTGTTATCAGATCTTGAACAATTGTAACAAAGGTGGGGGCTACTGCGGGCGGGGGGGATTGTAACGTAAACTGAATACCATTAGATCAGCACCCCTGTTGCGTGTTGATCTAACAATCTAGAAAGCACCCTTCCATAATCTGTACGATATTTCTTCAATGGAAGATCCAGAACTTACCTGTTGTACTGCTAACTGAGATGGTTACTTTAAACGAACAGCAGAGATGTTATATGTGGGAGTGCACCTGAATTAAATCCGAACCCATTCAGCCTGCGCATGCGTATTATTTCCAACTTTTTTAAAGTGCACTGATGTTAATTTCCGCCCTTGTTTGTACAAGTCAAAATGTCCTGCTTCATAAATGTCCTGTTTTACAAATACAACAACACAACCCTCACTACGTTCACAGTGTAGTTTGTTTGTTAGTTTACTTTATAACCACATATCATACATTGAACGGGACAAACAATTCACATTACTACTGGTATATAAGTACAGGTTTGACCAAGCGTACACGTCCACATATTTGCTACAATCAACAGTCCTGTGTAATGCTAGAGTAACACTTCTCTGATACTAGAATCCAATTAAATCTAAAATGACATCATTGCAAGCCTTGTGTGTGGCCATTTCTTTGGTGAGTGTACATCACATGTGTATCTTGATTGTCTGGGAGACTTGTTTGCCGTTAATCTCCGTTCCTGTGGCCTTTTATTGGCAATAAATGTCATCTTTTCGCTCACCAGTATTGTAGTTATTATCTACCATTATCTCCATTAGCATTCTGTTTAATTTCGGCATCATGGTAAATGGAAATTTTGCATTAACTTCTGTTTTGGGTTTTATCTTTTCAAGCAGAATACCGGGGTAGATCTTCGGTATCTTTTTATAATTTGGATCACAAAAATACCGGTGTATTTTCCTTGTGTTTATCTTTGTATTGAGCACAAACTGCGAGGTGTATCTCAGTGTTAACTGCTGCCTACATGCGGTACATTGCACTAAGATGAGTTTGTCGACAAAGAATTAGAAAGCGAGATTTGCCCTCACCTCAACCCAAAACCCAGATACACCCCACCCCCACCCCACCCAAAACCAAGACCCACCCTCACCCCCAACCACCCAAAACCAAGACCCACCCCCACCCCCACCCACCCAAAACCCATCCACACCCAGCATTACCTCGTTAATGTGAGACCACCCACGGGCGATAATGATCCTCAGGGATGGTAACGTGTGTATTCATGCATTGTTAAAAAAAATATTGGGCTTCATGAAAAAAAAAAAAAAACGAAAATGTCACCCAAGAACCCTTCCTTCTTGTACCTTACACGTGCACGAGGACTGATTTGTATGGTTCTGTAATCTGTATCTGGTCCAAACTGAGCGGTTATAAATTGTCTGAAAGGCGCCGTGTTCACATGATGAACAAAGGATTATGGAGCCGTGCTTGATTGTTCATTTCCGATAAGAGGAGATTCGACATCATTTCCGTGGAATTCACGTACATGACAGCTGATATTCTATGTACAAAAACAGGCCCGTAGGCAGCAATTTTATAAGGGGGTTTCTTTTTCTGAAGGTGGACCTTTTACGATGAAACCTTAGATTAACTAGATCAAATTTTACCCAGAATGGACCGTTTCCTGACAAAAAGGGCGGTTCTTTCGAACCCCCTGAACCCCCCTGGCTACGGACCTGTTTTTTTAAAAACCATACAACGACACAATGCCTTACGTCCATGTATCTTAGAATTGGCTCTGTCTTCTTGTTACTGAGAAGTACTGGTATTAATCATGACTGATACAACGAAAATACTGGCTGCAGTTGAAGGCGAACAGGCCTGGAAATGGCCAAGATTTTGCTTAGGACAGCTTATTTATTTATTCATTTTTTTATTTATTTGTATTTGCAGTTAGGCATCAATTGATCTACGACAACTTTTGCGCATTTATTTATTTTACCTATCTTGTATTATTTTACTCTTCTAGATCTGTTTTGGAAACCCCATTGTCCTCACTCTCCCCTTCCCTCCCCTCTCTCGTTGATTTCCATACGGTGTTGTCACTCACCCCGCCGTCACCCCTTTTTTCTAGCGAGCACGTTAAAGGTGACAGAGACAGATCACGACATGAGGTCTTAATGTACAGGCGCTAGAGCTAGTGAACATCTGTTAACTACAGGAGAGTGCTCCTCTATCTTACCATACAGAACGCTAACCCACAACCACTGCATAATTATGCTTGATTATTCCAATAACTACATGCAGTTAGAATGATTTAGGTGTCATTAGGGAGTGTTTTGTCCTATCTGTCTTCAAAATACGTGTTATCTGCGGTGAGTGGTCTGAATTCAGGAATAAATCAATTGCCGACCAGGAAATTACTGGATATTACTCCGATCAAGAATGTATTACTGGTTTTTGTATATCAACGTGCGAGCTGCAAGACTTCAATGAACTGCTGAACTTGCTGAAAGTCCACATTCCCTAAGGATAATAATTGATCAATTTTTATTTTTACCATTACATAATAATGTTTATAGCCTGTAATATGTTGGTAATTGAATTTATATGATCAAAAGTTGGTTGAGTATATATATGGTAAGGCGTTTCTCCGGTTTTTGGTCCATTTAACGTTGTTTTAATCACGTCCTCGTCAAATGCCTGAACTGCTGTAGGGTGCAGCCGCTCACTGCGATAGATGAGAGCGCGTCTCGAGATAGCAAAGTCACCTTTTGTAACGCAAGCTGGGAGAGAGGGGGGGGAGGGGGGGGGGAGGGTGCATGACCTGACCACACCGTCATAGTGAGCCTATTAGATAAATATGGTTCCTCGGCAGGAAAATGAGATATGCTGCCTTTTTTACGGAATTTGATAATGATAGAAGCGCAAAAGAAGTGGTTTTATGAAAGATAAATGGACAAGATCGAGGCACGGCCGTGAACACAGGAAAGGTTGTGACATGAAAAATTGCTTTGATTGATTTCATGTCATTGATTAATTTTTACCGTATCTTAAGGTTATGATCCAGCGTGTATTCAACACGCCGTATTTTAAACTGTGGTCTTATTTCTTCACCACGGTCTGCAACCGTGACACCGGACACATCTTATTTTGTTGAAATAAATAAATAAATAAATAAATAAATAAATAAATAAATAAATAAATAAATAAAAGTAAATGAATAGATCGATACATAAGTAAAATAGAAAAATGTAAATTTTGTAATAATGTAACACGTTCAGGGATCAAATGGATAAAAATAAATAAAAGCCAATAGATCTCTGATACCTTTGATTTGTCATTGCATGTAAAAATATCGATTTAAACTGGGCACATCGGAGAGTGGCGTTACCAGCTACCATTAGGCACAAAGTTACTCGTTAACTAAACATCCCTTTTGTATCTTCGTGACGGAGCCAGGGATGTTACAGTGGTCCACGCGCTGCCATCCCCTCAGCTTCACACGGGTCATACTNAACTCTGTTGCGTGTTGATCTAACAATCTAGAAAGCACCCTTCCATAATCTGTACGATATTTCTTCAATGGAAGATCCAGAACTTACCTGTTGTACTGCTAGCTGAGATGGTTACTTTAAACGAACAGCAAAGATGTTATATGTGGGAGTACACCTGAATTAAATCCGAACCCATTCCGACTGCGCATGCGTATTATTTTCAACTTTTTAACTGCACTGATGTTAATATCCGCCCTTTGATTGCACAAGTATAAATGTCCTATTTCATAAATGTCCTATTTTATAAATACAACAAGACAACCCTCACTACGTTCATACTGTAGTTTATTTGTTAGTTTACTTGATTCCCACATATCATACATTGAACGGGACAAACAATTCACATTACATGTACTACTGGTATATAAGTACAGTTTTGACCAAGCGTACACGTCCACATATTTGCCACAATCAACAGTCCTGTGTAATGCTAGAGTAACACTTCTCTGATACTAGAATCCAATTAAATCTAAAATGACAGCATTGTAAGCCTTGTGTGTGGCCATTTCTTTGGTGAGTGTACATCACATGTGTATCTTGATTGTCTGGGAGACTTGTTTGCCGTTAATCTCCGTTCCTGTGGCCTTTTATTGGCAATAAATGTCATCTTTTGGCTCACCAGTATTGTAGTTATTATCTACCATTATCTCCATTAGCTTAATTTCGGCATCATGGTAAATGGAAATTTCGCATTAACTTCTGTTTTGGGTTTTATCTTTTCAAGCAGAATACCGGGGTAGATCTTCGGTATCTTTTTATAATTTGGGTCACAAAAATACCGGTGTATTTTCCTTGTGTTTAGTATTGAGTACAAACTGCGAGGTGTATCTCAGTGTTAACTGCTGCCTACATGCGGTACATTGTACTAAGATGAGTTTGTCGACAAAGAATTGGAAGGTTTCATCAAACTGAAGGATCTCGAATATTAGGAAGCGAGATTTGCCCTCACCTCAGCCCAAACCAATATCCAACTCACCCCCACCGACCTAAAACCCACCCCACCCACCCAAAACCCACCCCACCCACCCAAAACCAAGACCCACCCCATCCCCACCCACCCAAAACCCACCCCCACCCTCCCAAAACCAAGACCCAACCCCCACCCACCCAAAACACACCCCATCGACCCAAACCCACC